CTAAAATTCGGGCTCTGTATAAGAGAGTAATATATTAGATTACTAGTAGTATAGTAGCATAACCTGACTAGTTCTCCTTTATTTATTATATCTTAGACGCCTAACCTTTTAAGCAAAACTAATTATGTCCTAAGGAGCTCTTATATAGATTACAGCCTATATATAAGAGTAGTTAACACTTATGCTAAAGGTACTAGTTATTATAATTACTTTGCTTATCCCTTATTACTATTATTTAAAAGCCTCTTCTTTCTCCTTATTATTACTAAAATTAGAGTAATATATAAGATATAATAGGCGCTAGCTAACCTGATTAGCCTTACTTTGGCTTTAAGCATAGATGATTACTTAGGTAATAGCTTCCTTCTTAAGATATTGTAAAGCAGTCCGGATACCTTAAGTTATATACTTAAGGAAGTCTCTTAGGTAACTATTACACTAAATATAATAGTAAAGGTTACTTTAAAAAATACAAGATTAAATAGTATAAAGCTAAGCTAATAAGAAATATTATTTAAATTAGGCCTATATTAGTAAAGAGAGAATAGTTATTAGAAAGATAATCTGATAATAATACTCTTATAACTTTTTTACTAAGGCTATTTTGGGTTAGTAACAAGATATAATTAGGATTAAGTAGCTCTTATTAAAGACTAGTTAATCTAAGCTTTTATTAGTATTTAATTAGCCTAAAAAGATTTAAAAGCGACAAGAAACTACCTCCTTAATAACAATAAATAATAATAAGTACTTTATATATTGCTATAGATTAGTATACTAATTTTAGATAAAATAAGTAATATTTAACTTAAGATAATAATAGATAATATAATATATAGCAGACATATTAATAGTATAAATAACAGGCTTTTTTCTTTACTAGTTTTTAAGATATTAATAACTTTTGTATAGCCTATTATAATACTGCTAATTAATTAAGCCTGCTTTTTAATCTTGAACTAAGCTAGCTTTATTTAAGAATAAAGCTATTATAATATTTTGAGTATAATCTACTTACCTTAGTAATAATAATAATAATAAGGTTATTATTAAAGTACAACTTATTTAATTAGTAAAGAATTTAATAAGGAGGCCTATCTGTAATACCTAGTAATATTAAAATTAGTAGTTAATTATAATTAACAGAGTTAATATTATATTTAATTAGTACAAAAATATTCTTATAGTCTAGTATTAATTAATCCTAAATTAAAATTAATAGTTCTTCTATAAATATAATTTCTAATCTATACATTATAAGTTACTTAATAATAAAAAACGTTAGCTATAGCCCTGCTAAAACTATTTAAGATAAAAGTATTACTAAGATTATTATCTTTATTCTTAAGAAGATCTAAGTCTACTTTATATATTAGTTTACTAAACTTTTTAATAATAATGCTTACTAAGATCTATCTCTATAATTATATATTTATCTTTTCCCTAATAGCTTACTAGCTTATGCTCTTAATAATCTAAGTTATTTTGTCCTTAGGCTAGATGCTAGAGTTATTACTTTATAAATACTTGCTAATATTAATAAGTATTAATACTTTTTAATAAAAATATTACTAAATAAGGGTAATTAAAACTAAGAATTAGATTAGGAATTACCTAACTTTAGGTAGTAAGAAATACGCTAGATACTATAATATATAAGTATAACTTAGTAATTTATAATAGATTAATAAAAACAAGACATAACTATTATAAATAAAAACATTCCGCTTTATAAATCTAACATTTTATTATTATATCCTTAGAAACTCTTTTTAACGTGTTAGCTATCTTAAATCTTTATGAATTAAGATTATAAGATACTTTAAGAATTATTAAACTAACTTTTTATACTATTAGGTGAATTCTGACTAAATAACTTATGACTTACCTTCTTTCTCTTAGTTTTGTTAAAGCACTAGATATTATAATTTAGGTTCTTTTTAGATGTTCTCTTAAAGCTACTCTTAGCCGCCTACTAAGATGCTAGCATTATAAGGATTATTAAAGAATAAGCATTTAGGTTAATAAGAATCCTAGTTATCTTATAATTTATCTAATAAATAAATTAGGATATCTAGTAAGCCTAGATAAAAATCTTGCTTAAAGATAATTTATATATAATTTAGTAAAATATAATCTCTTATACTAGAAATTTAATCTTATATACTAAAGTATAACTTATTTAATTAGTAAAGGATTTAATAAGGAGGCCTATTTATAGTGCTTAGTAATGCTAGGATTAGTAGTCAGTTATAATTAATAAAGTTAGTGCTATATTTAATTAGCGCAAAAATATTTTTATAATCTAGTATTAGTTAACCCTGAATTAAAATTAATAGTTCCTTTATAAGTATAATTTCTAGTCTGTACGTTATAAGCTGCTTAATAATAGAAAATATTAGTTATAGCCCTGCTAAAACTATTTAAGATAAAGATGTTACTAAGGTTATTATCTTTATCCTTAAGAAGATCCAAGTCTGCTTTATACGTTAGTCTACTAAACTTTTTAATAATAATGCCTATTAAGATCTGTCTTTATAATTATATATTTATCTTCTCCCTAATAGCTTACTAGCTTATGCTCTTAATAATCTGAGTTATCTTGTCCTTAGGCCAAATACTAGAGCTATTACTCTATAGATATTTATTAATGTTAATAGGCACTAATACCTTTTAATAGAAATATTGCTGGATAAGAGTAATCAAAATTAAGAATTAGACTAGGAGTTGCCTAACTTTAGGCAGCAAGAAACACGCTAGATACTATAATATATAAGTATGACTTAGTAATTTATAATAGGTTAACAGAAATAAGACGTAACTATTATAAATAAAAATGTTCTACTTTATAAATCTAATATTTTGTTATTACATCCTTAGAAACTCTTTTTAATGTGCTAGCTATCCTAAACCTTTATAAATTAAGACTATAAGATATTCCAGGAATTATTAAACTAACTTTTTATATTATTAGGCGAATTCTAACTAAATAATCTATAACTTATCTTCTTCCTCTTAATTTTATTAAAGCACTAGATATCATAATTTAGGCTCTCTTTAGATGTTCTTCTAAAGCCACTCTTAGCTACCTACTAGAATACTAGTATTATAAGGATTATTAAGGAACAAGCATCTAGGTTAATAAGAATCTTAGTTATCTTATAGTTTATTTAATAAATAGATTAGGATGTCTAATAAGTCTAGATAAAGATCTCACTTAAAGATAATTTATATATAATCTAAGTAAAATATAATCTCTTACGCCAGAAATTTAATCTTATAAGTAATGCTAGCGTAGTTTAGTGTCTCTTTATCTTAATGCTATTAAATCTAGGCAAGATTAATAATGTTTCAGGATATAATTATAATATATAGTTAAAGATAATTTATATTACTTACTAGGGTCTTCTTATTATTTATAATCTATGCTATATAAAAGGGCTTTAATACGTTAGATATATTTTTATGCTAACTATACCTTACTAGCTTATAAGTATAGGCTAGAATAATAATTTAATAATAGTAAATTAATTAGTTTAATATATTATTATACTAATCTTAGTATAATATAATAAGATAGTAATCTATGTCTTTATAATTAAGATTAAATATTATATAAGTATAATATAAAGCTTTAGTATTTATTAGTTAATTTTCTGTCTTAGTTGCTTAATCTATTCTTTATATTCTGAGTTATTAAGGGTTTTTAAAGAGATACTCTTACTAGAGTTATTATCTTTTTAATCTAATATTAATTAGGCTTTAGATAATAGAAAATCTATATAAGATTTTACTATCTCTTAAAGTAAGTCTTAAGCAGTATATTATTAAGAAGTAATCTTAAATAAATTATAATTAAAATAGCTATTAATTATATAACAGAAATAACAAATTAACTTAATAAAAGTTAAAATATAATATAATAGACTATGTTCTTCTTAAAGGTACTTAAATAAATCTTAGCTTAAGATTCTAGATTAGAATATATTAAGACATCAGACATTAATATAATATAAATCTGTAATTAAAGTAGATATAGCTTAAAGAACTCTCTTAATTACTTTACTAACATAATATAAAAATATATTATTAGCCTTAAACTTAGGAAGCTTAAAGAACCCTCTTAACTACTTTACTAAATAATATAGAAATATATTATTAGTCTTAAACTTAAGGATATTATGCAAAGATATAATTAAGTTAATATTAATCTTATTAAGATATTTATAATACTTATAAAGCTATAACTATAAAGATAATTTAGAGATATATATTAGCTCTTTAATTTAATAATACTTATCTTTAAAAGTCTTTTAACTAGATCAGAACTATTTACTTAAAAGGCTATTAATAAACTTAGCTAGATCTAAAACTCTAATTATCCTTAAATAATCTGATAAAGGTAAAGTACAGATAGCTAAAAAGGAGATTAATAAAAGTAATTATTATTTTAACGTAAGATTAATAATAAAATATTTTTAAGACTTAGCGAATAATGTTTATATTTAAATTTACTATATCTAAAGATGATTTGCTTACTTTAAGTTAAGAATATATAATCATCTATATTATACTTTTATTTACTTAGAATTACTAGGCTAGGAAGAGGCGCCTAATAATATAATGACTATATAACCTGCTTAGAAATATATTACGCCTTAACCTATTCTTAGATACGCTTTTTAAGTTAGCCTTTAACTTTATAAGCATATTTAAGATACTTACTATAGTTCTAAAGAGTATATTTTGAGCAGTACTTAATATAAAAAAGTACTTTAAGATTAATATATACTTATAAGTAAGTGACTAGTAATATTATAATATATATATTAATTACTAAAGCTAAAGAGCTTAAAATTAGAGAAGAGATAAAAGATATTATTTGAATAAATCTTTAATTAAGTATAATAGATTTAATATACTTATAAATATATAGTTAATAAAGTCACCTCTTTAAAGAATTTAGTATATAATAGTTACCTATATAATAATTACTTACGCTAGCACTTTTGAATACTAAGACTATTAAACGCAGTGTGGTCCGCGTCCTGCCCCTTTTCCAGCCGGCCAAACTGCTGACATCGGGTGCACCACTGATGGCGTTGCTCACGAGAACAATACTGCATATGCTCACCTCCATCTTGAAAACGACTCAACACCGCAGCCAGGCAGCGGCAGTGCCCCAGATAGGTCTGCATCGCCAGCTCGGGCAACGTCTGAAATTCGGGCTCCGTGCGAGAGAGTGATGTATTGGATTGCCAGTGGTGCGGCAGCACGACCCGACTGGTTCCCCCTCGCCCATCACGCCCCAGACGCCCGACCTCTTGGGCAAAACTGATCATGTCCTGAGGAGCTCCCATGTGGATCACCGCCCGTACATGAGGGTAGTCGACACCCATGCCAAAGGCACTGGTCGCCACAATCACCCTGCTCGTCCCTCGTCGCCACTGTTCAAAAGCCTCTTCTTTCTCCTCGCTGCTACCGGAATCGGAGTAGTACACGGGACACGACAGGCGCTGGCTGACCTGATCGGCCTCGCCCCGGCTCTGGGCGTAGACGATCACTCGGGCAGCAGCTTCCTCCTCAAGATGTTGTAGGGCAGTCCGGATACCTCGGGTCATGTACTCAAGGAAGTCTCCTGGGCGACTGCTGCGCTGGACGTGGTAGTAAAGGTCACTTCGAAAGGTACAAGATCGAATGGTACGAGGCTGAGCCAGCAAGAGACGTCGTTCAAATTGGGCCTGCATCAGCGGGGGGAGGGTAGCCGTCAGAAAGACGACCTGACAACGATACTCTCGCAACTCCTTTACCAAGGCCATTTTGGGTCGGTAGCGAGATGCGGTCAGGATCAGGTGGCTCTTATCAAAGACCAGTCGATCCAAGCTTTCACTGGCATCCAGTTGGCCTAGAAAGGTTCGAAAGCGGCGGGAAACTGCCTCCTCAATGGCAACAAATAACAATGAGCACCCCACATACTGCTGTGGGTTGGCGTGCCGATTCCAGATGGAATAAGCAATGTTCAACTCGAGACAACGGCGGACAATGTCGGTCTTCAAGGCAACCAACGGTACCACCACCACTGTAGTGGCGGCATGTGGCAGACATACCGGCAGCATAAACGACAGGCTCTTTCCTTCGCCGGTTCCCAAGATACCAATGACTTCCGCATAGCCCGTCACGATACTGCTGATCAATTGAGCCTGCTTCTCGGTCTTGAACTGAGCTGGCTTTGTTTGGGGATAAAGCTGTTGCAATGTTTCGAGCACGGTCTGCTCGCCCCAGCGACGACGGTGACGACGAGGTTGTTGCCGGAGTGCGACTCGTTTGATCAGTGGAGGATTCAATGAGGAGGCCTGTCTGCGGTGCCCAGTGATGCTGGGATTGGTGGTCGGTCGTGGTTGACAGAGTTGGTGCCACATTCGACTGGCGCGAAAATATTCTTGCAGTCCGGCATCGGTCAACCCCGAATTAAAATTGATGGTCCCCCCGTAGGCACGATTTCCAGTCTGTACGCTGTGAGCTGCTTGATGGTGGAAAACGTCGGCCATGGCCCCGCCGAAACTGTTCAAGATGGAGGTGCCGCTAAGGTCGTCATCTTCGTCCCCGGGAAGATCCAAGTCTGCTTCATACGTCAGTCCACTAAACTTTTTGATGGCAATGCCCACTGAGATCTGTCTCCACGACTGCATGTTCACCTTCTCCCCAATGGCTTGCTGGCTCATGCTCTTGACGATCCGAGTCATCTTGTCCTCAGGCCAGATGCCGGAGCCACCACTCCATAGATACTCGCTGACGTCAACAGGCACTAACACCTCCCGGTGGAAATATCGCCGGATAGGGGTGATCAAAACCAAGAATTGGACCAGGAGTTGCCCGACTTCGGGCAGCAAGAAACGCGCTGGGTGCCGTGATGCATGGGTGCGACTCAGTGATTTATGGTAGGTCAACAGAAACAGGACGTGGCCGTCGTGAACGAAAACGTTCCGCTTCGTGAATCCAACATTTTGCCATCGCATCCCTAGAAACTCTTTTCGACGTGCTGGCTGTCCCGAACCTTTGTGAATCAAGACCATAAGATACTCCAGGAATCGTTGAACCGACTTTTCATACTGTTGGGCGAATTCTGACCGAACAACCTATGACTCACCTTCTTCCTCTTGGTTTCGTCGAAGCACCAGATGTCGCAATTCGGGCTCTCTTTGGATGTTCTCCCAGAGCCACTCTTGGCCGCCTGCTAGGATGCCAGCATTGCGAGGATCGTCGAGGAACGAGCATCCAGGTCGACAAGAATCCCAGTTGTCCCGTAGTTCATCTAACGGATAGGTTGGGATGTCTGGTAGGCCTAGACAAAGATCTCGCTCAAAGATAGTTCGCGTATGATCTAAGTAAAATGTGATCTCCTGCGCCAGAAATTTGATCTCGTAGGTAATGCCAGCGTAGTTTAGTGTCTCTTTATCTTGATGCCACTAAATCTAGGCGGGATTGACGGTGTTTTAGGACATAGTTATGACATATAGTCGAAGACAATTCATATTACTCACTAGGGTCTTCGGGATTGACGGTGTTTCGGGACACAGTCATGGCATACAGTCGAAGACGGTTCATGTCACTCACCGGGGTCTTCTCGTCGTTCACAATCCACGCCGCACAGAGGGGCTTTAATGCGTTGGACACATTCTCATGCTGACCACACCTTACTAGCTCATGAGCATGGGCCAGAATAATGATCTGACAACAGTAGATCAATTGGCTTAATGTACTACCACACTGATCTTCCTTTCGCCAGGTGTTCTCACTTTCGTCCCATGCTGCAATAGCACAATATGACAAGATGGCAGTCTGCGTCCCTGTGGTCGAGATTGGATGTTGCACAAGTGCAGTACAGAGCTTCAGCGTTTGTCGGTTGATTTCCTGTCTTAGCTGCCCAATCTGTTCTTCATGTTCTGGGTCGTCAGGGGTTTCTAGAGAGATACTCTCACTAGAGTCATCGTCTTTCTGATCTGACGTCGATTGGGCTTTGGATGATAGGAAATCCATATAAGATTCCACTGTCTCTCGAAGTAAGTCTTGGGCAGTGTATTGTTGGGAAGTAATCTCAAATAGATTACGATTAAAATGGCCATTGATCACACGACAGAAATAACAGATTAACTTGGTAAAGGTTAAAATGTAATGCGACAGACTGTGTTCTTCTTGGAGGTGCTCAAGCGGATCTTGGCTCAAGGTTCCAGGTTGGAATGTGTTGAGACGTCGGGCGTCAACATGATGCAAATCTGCAATCAAAGCAGATGCAGCTTGAAGAACCCTCTCAACTGCTTTACTGACATGATATAGAAATACATCATCGGCCTCGGACTTGGGGACACTACGCGAAGATGCGATCAAGTCGACGTCAATCCCACTGAGATGTTCATGATACTTACAGAGCCGCAGCCATGGAGACAATTCAGAGGTATGTACTGGCTCCTCAATTTGACGGTACTTATCTTTAAAAGTCTCTTGACTAGACCAGAACCGTTCACTCAGAAGGCTGCCAGCAGACTCGGCTGAATCTGAAACTCTAATTATCCTCAAGTGATCTGATAGAGGCAAAGTAGAGACGGCCAAAGAAGAGATTGATGGAAGTGGTTGCTGTTTCAACATAGGATCGACAATAAAATATTCTCGAGACTTGGTGAACAACGTCTGCATTTGAACCTTGAAGGATGCATCACCTTCTCGCTGCTGTCGTTTACAATTCAGATTATGCTCTGAACTGCCATGTCTGAAGATGATTTGCTCGCTTTGAGTCAAGAACATGCAATCATCTATATTGCACTTCCATCCACTTAGAATTGCTAGGCCGGGAAGAGGCGCCTGATAATGCGATGGCTGTGTGACCCGCTCAGAAATATGCTGCGCCTCAACCCATTCTTGGATGCGCTTTTTGAGTTGGCCTTTGACCCCATGAGCACGTTTAAGATGCTCACCATAGTTCTGAAGAGTATATCCTGAGCAGTGCTCAGTACATAGAAGTACTCCAAGGTCAGCATGCGCCCGCAGGTAGGTGACCGGTGATATCGTAACGTGCGCGTTAACCACTGAAGCTGAAGAGCTCAAAATTGGAGAAGAGGTAGAAGACATCGTCTGAATGAATCTTCAATCAAGTATAATAGATTTGATATACTTGTGAGTGTGTAGTTGACAAAGTCACCTCTTCAGAGAATTTGGTGTGTAATGGTCACCCATGTAATGGTCACCCGCGCTAGCACTTTTGAACGCCAAGACCGTCGATTTGTGTGTGTAAGGGTCACCCTTACGCAGCTTTATAATGTTAGGATAAAGAAGGAGTTTCGCTATTTAATCTAATACTATGTTTCTTTTATAAATACTCTTTTAGACTTATTATTAAAGTACTAATATATTACTCTTAATAGATGTTACATTCCTAATAACGTTATATATCAGACCTGTTTTCTAATATCACCTCTTTTCTATAAGCCTATATAAGTAAAGTTCGTGCTTATTTTGATTCTGCTTAAGGTGAAACATAATTTCGAGTTCGCTTTCAAGGATTCCGAGCTTAAATAACTAAAAAAGCATTTATTAGAGTTAAAGTACATATTTATTCTATAGAAATAAAGGATCCTACTCTAAAAGACCTTAGGTCAGACAGAGTTTCTAGAAATAGACTTAATAATAATCTTATAGAATTAGACATTATATTAGAGATAGAATAGAAGACGCTAAATATAGCTAGCTAGGTCCGAGTATATAGAAATGTTTTATTAGATAGTAATTCGTGGTCAAAGTTAGTCCCTAGTCTTTAGTATAGGATTTATAATTTGCAAAGAACAATAAATATTTTATTCTCACGTACATATATTACTAAAATAGGCAATAAGCTTAACACTAGCATTAAGCATAAAGATAGCTTTACTAATTACATTAATTTCTATATTATTTACTGGCTAATTCAGCTTGCAATTAGCCTAATTATCTTTTATATATACAAATTAACTAAATTAACAATTTTACAAATGCCAAATTAAACTAACTAGAGCACAGAATTAAATAATTTATTAAGTAATTAAATTAATTAAATTAACTAAATTAAATTAAGTAGAACCCTGATTTAGATCCTACAACGAATTATATAAACTCTATCCAAGTATATCACTTAATCAGATGCTTAATACTTGGTGATAGGGCCCTTAAGCTCCCCTGCTAAACAAAAGGTTTATAACTAACACTATATATAGATAGAGACCTCGTTATCAGCCGTAATCTCATACTAAGACAGTAAAAAAGAGCAAAATAATTAACAGCTAGTATTCCTAGTAGTCACCTACTTAACTATTAATTAGCCGGTATATAGCTTAAGTATAGCTAAGCGAACAGGAAGCCCTACATTTCATGTCCTATAGTTAATTATAAAAGCAACATGCTATAATATAATATAATTAACTTTAATCCGAGAATATAAAAAGCGCTCTTATATTTATGTAACCTAATATAAGATCCAAGTCTAGCTATTAGCTTAGCATTACAGAATACCCTCTTATATATTATTATAATAGCTATTCTCTAGATATATAAGACTTGTATTCAGGTCTGCATTATAAATAAAGTCTCTAGAATTATAAAATAGATTTACCTAGTTAATATTATAATCTAAGATGCTAAGCGTAAGCATTTATAAGCACAGATTTCCTAGTCTATATAAACATGCTTATTCCCTTAAATAGCTTAGGGTCTTTGTAGTTAACTCATGTTATTAGCTTATACCTAAAAGTTAAAGACATTTTATACTTTATACTTATGCCCTTTGCTTTATTAACCTAATTCTTAGACCTGACTTCTACTTAAGACTTGTCTTAACTAGTTAAGTCCTAACACCAGAGTCTTTTTATAACCTAATAATAAATATTATATTACTTGATTATAAAGCTAATTACTTAGTTATCTCTCCTCTTATTAGTATATAATAAATTATACTAATTAATTAATAGATTAGTATAGAAATAATAAGTTGTTTTATCTAATTTAGTATAAGGAACATATATTTATATATATAAAGTTGCTATATTAAGCGAAATAACGCGAAATACAAATACTAAAAATATATATATAGCTAATATAAAACGCGTATTAAATCTATAATAAAATATTAATAATATATATAACAAAATAAGTATAAACTATATTTTTAGGTTTTATAGTATCTAACTTATAAAATTAAATTCGCTAAGTATTTATATACCTGATTCTTAAAACCTAATAATTTAATATTATAATCTAATTATAATGTCTAACTTTAATACTTCTCTCTAAGTAAATCAGGTCTTGTTCTCTTAACTTAGAAAGGAAACTTTTTCTTTTAACATAATTAAAAATTAGGTCTAGTTAGTTATAAAGATAGATCCTTATTTAGTATTTTTTTATACTCTTTAGTATATGTCTTAACACCTAGTTTACTATCTGTGCCCCTTAATATGCCCTTATCCTATAGAGCTCGCATTCCTTTTTAACCTAATCTATTTATTACTTTTTTACTAAGCATACTTCCTAATTAGCCCTACTAATCTGCTCTAATATTAAACCTTATTCTTATACAGCTAGCAACATTATATCTTAAAACTTATACCCCTTTTGCCTTTGCTATATATAGATCTCTTATAGACTACTATATTAGTAGCATATTACATAGGCCTTTAATCATCCTCCTTTTCTCTTCCCTTGCTTTACTGCCTCCTATTTAGCCTAAAAGAACCTCTACTTTATATAGTTTTAATACACCTTTAGCTTATGTCACTTATTATTGCCTCCTCTAGCTAGCTAGCAGATTATGTACCGTCTTTATAGCGCTTAAAGTCATTAGATTAATTAATCTTGGCCTCCTTCTTTGTCTTATTAATATAGCCAGAGCCAGGTTAACCTAGCTAACACCTCCTCTTCTAGCTAGCTAATACTGCCCTTGTCTGTCTCTTCTAACTTATTACTAACCTTTCCTCCCTCAGGCCCTGCTCCTTAAGTCTCTTTAGTACTCTTCTCTTTATCCTTATCCTAATACGTAGTATGGTCTGCGTCTTGCCTCTTTTCTAGCCAGCTAAACTGCTAATATTAGGTGTACTACTAATGACATTACTTACGAGAATAATACTATATATACTCACCTCTATCTTGAAAACGACTTAATACTGCAGCTAGGCAACAGCAGTGCCCTAGATAGGTCTGCATTACTAGCTTAAGCAATGTCTAAAATTCAGGCTTTATATAAGAGAGTAATATATTAAATTGCTAGTAATATAGCAACACGACTTGACTAGTTCCCCCTTACCCATCACGCCCTAGACGCCCGACCTCTTAAGCAAAACTAATTATGTCCTAAGGAGCTCCTATATAGATTACCGCTTGTACATAAGGGTAGTTAATACCTATGCCAAAGGCACTAGTCGCCACAATTACCTTACTCATCCCTTATCACCACTATTTAAAAGCCTCTTCTTTCTCCTTACTACTATTAGAATCAGAGTAGTATATAAGATATAATAGGCGCTAGCTAACCTGATTAGTCTCGCCCTAGCTCTAAGTGTAGACGATTACTTAGGTAGTAGCTTCCTCCTTAAAATGTTATAAGGCAGTCCGGATACCTCAGGTTATATACTTAAGGAAGTCTCTTAGGCGACTACTATGCTAGACATAGTAATAAAGATTACTTCAAAAGATACAAGATCAAATAATATAAGGCTAAGCTAGCAAGAAACGTTATTTAAATTAGGCCTATATTAGCAGGGAGAAGGTAGCTATTAGAAAGATAACCTAATAATAATACTCTTATAACTTCTTTACTAAGGCTATTTTAGGTTAGTAGCAAGATATAGTCAGGATTAAGTAGCTCTTATTAAAGACTAGTTAATTTAAGCTTTTACTAATATCTAGTTAGCCTAGAAAGGTTCAAAAGCAGCAGGAAACTACCTTCTTAATAGTAATAAATAATAATAAGCACCCTATATACTGCTATAGATTAGTATACTAATTCTAGATAGAATAAGTAATGTTTAACTTAAGACAACAATAGATAATATTAGTCTTTAAGGCAATTAATAATATTATTACTACTATAGTAATAGCATATAATAGATATACTAGTAATATAAATAATAAGCTCTTTTCTTCGCTAGTTCCTAAGATATTAATAACTTCTGTATAACCTATTACAATACTACTAATTAATTAAGCCTGCTTCTTAGTCTTAAACTAAGCTAGTTTTATTTAAGGATAAAGCTATTATAATATTTTGAGTATAGTTTGCTTGCTCTAATAATAATAATAATAATAAGGTTATTACTAAAGTATAACTTATTTAATTAATAAAGGATTTAATAAGGAGGCCTGTCTGTAATACCTAGTAATACTAGGATTAGTAGTTAGTCATAATTAATAGAGTTAGTATTATATTTGACTAGCGCAAAAATATTTTTATAGTCTAGTATTAGTTAACCCTAAATTAAAATTAATAGTCCCTTTATAAGCATAATTTCTAATCTATATATTATAAGCTACTTAATAGTAAAAAACGTTAGTTATAGTCTTGCTAAAACTATTTAAGATAAAGGTGTTGCTAAGATTATTATCTTTATCCTTAGAAAGATCTAAGTTTGCTTTATATATTAGTCTACTAAACTTTTTAATAGCAATGCCTACTAAGATCTGTCTTTATAACTATATATTTACCTTCTCTTTAATGGCTTACTAGCTTATGCTCTTGATGATCTGAGTCATCTTGTCCTTAGGCCAGATACTAAAGCTATTACTCTATAGATACTTGCTAACGTTAATAAGTACTAATACCTCTTAATAGAAATATTACTAAATAAGAGATTAAAACTAAGAATTAGACTAGGAGTTACCTAACTTCAGGCAGCAAGAAACGCGCTAGGTACTGTAATACATAAGTGCGACTTAGTAATTTATAGTAGGTCAACAGAAACAGGACATGACTATTATAAACGAAAATATTCCGCTTTATAAATCCAATATTTTGCTATTATATCCCTAGAAACTCTCTTTTTAATGTGCTAGCTGTCCTGAACCTTTATAAATCAAGACTATAAGATACTTCAGGAATTGTTAAACCGACT